ATTATGATTTTACGTTTAATAATTTAATAATTTAAACTTAATCGATAATATATTTATTCTTATCACATTTTAAAATTTTTAAAAAAAAGTTAAATCGATCCAAATGGATATTCATATCGTGAAATATCGAATCAAATGAAAAATTGTAGGAAAATAAAGTTTGAAAAAAGGTCATCGGAATGAGATTGTGATTGGAAAGAAACATAAACAATCACGACTTTATGTTTCATAATTAATGTAAAATTATTTTTGATATTTAAAATTTATCGATCATATATTTATCATGGCCGCACTTCAACATTTTCAATAAATTTTAAATTGTTTAAAACAGATGTTTGTAATTCAAAATACTGAATCAAACGTTAAAAAACAAAAATCGGCTTAGACGGCATAGCCGAGCCGAGCTGAGCCGTGTCATAAAGTCATAAATACTGAATCAAACATTCATATCGTGAAATATCGAATCAAATGAAAAATTGTAGGAACATAGAGTTCGAAAAAATGACATTGGAATGGGGTTGATATTGAAAAGAAATATAAACAATCACGACTTTACACAATTAATATAAAATTATTTTTGATATTTAAAATTTATCGATCATATATTTATCATGGCCGCATTTTAACATTTTCAATAAATTTTAAATATCTTAAAACGGATATTTATAACTAAAATACTGAATCAAACGAGAAAAAAAGGGATTAGACGGCTTAGCTGAACCGAGTCGAGCCGTCAAGCCATACGGCTCGGCTTGTGAACAGTAATTGAAATCTTGCTCTTTTATATTTAGTTAGAAATGTGATGATAAAGACCCACAACAATGATAGGATTAAAAAATGACGTCGTTTAACGGGACGAAGGATAAATAAAAATAAGAACGGCTACATATACATTCTTTTTGCACATCAAATTTGATATTCTCACTTATTCAAAATAATGGCCATAATTTTGACACATCAAGAAATATCAAATTTGATATACCAAAAGGAGTGTACAATTAATTTAACAACGCGATAGAGTAAAAAAAATAAAGATACGTGAACAAAACGAAACCATAAATGATGACAATTTAGTAAACAATACCCCGCCAAGCCTCAAATAGAGATTCAACATCCCCTCACTAAGGAAATCTGAGTCTAGTGCCGGTGCATTGGCCTTGCAATCTCCTCCACACAATTCATAATCCAACAAAAAAAATAAAAATGGCGCTATTCACTTTTGAGAAATGCTATTCATCAGTACCAATTCGGACAAGTACGTGACATTATTGAAGCAATAAAATGTTACCACGTGCTCTTTCACCTGTTGCTCTTTAATCGCCCACGTTTTTTTTTCCTGCATCACCTTTCCCTCTTTAAAGATTAACCCCTCTGCTCAAGCTCAGCATACGGCCATGGCTGCTGCAGTAAGTGCTTCCTGCATGACCTTTCCCTCTTTAAAGATTATCCCTTCTGCTCATGCTCAGCATACGGCCATCGGGCCTTGGCTGCTGCTGTAAGTGCTGTATTCTCTCTTCATTCCCTTCCAACCAGAACTACCTCCATTGTTTCACGAGAAAGAGTCAAATTCAACAAGGTATAATAACTTACCTCATTTTGTAGGATTTTTGCCACTACTTTATTTGAATTCATAATATGGGATTTCACTAGAGCGATCTTAGCAAATAATATACCTTTATTCATTGTTCGAATAATTTAAGACAAGTCATATTGGGCATTCACCAGTTAACTCTTCTCGTTTGTAGGATTTTTAGCCAATATTTTGTTTGAGTTCACAGTATGGGATTTGGTTATTTGTATTTGCAGGTATCATTGTTATACAGAAATGTTTCTTCTGGTGCTAATGCAGTATCCATAAGAGCCCAGGTTTCAACAAAGAGTCCTGCCAAGGCTGAGAAGGTGTCAAAGAAACAGGATGAAGGTGTAGTGGTTAACAAATACAGGCCTGAGGAACCATACATCGGCAAGTGCCTTCTCAATACAAAGATCACCGGAGATGATGCCCCGGAAGAAATCTGGCATATAGTCATCAGCACTGACGGTGAATCAAAATCTTCATTTTTACTTTAATTTACTCGATCGATCTAATTGAATAAACCGGCTAAATAATTAACTCCATTTCCTTGCCAATTGGCTCCTCTTTTGTCAACTAAGTATCCCTTAATTGTCCGCTTGGAATAGAAATTCAACCACAAACCTAAAATATATGAATGACAACTGTCAGCAAACAGTACCCCTATATGTGAGTGGTGAGATGTAGGGAGGCGTTATGTACTTGGAAGTGTTAATAATAAACCTGTTTAGTATTGTATACTTCTTATTGTTACAATCTGTTCATCGTTCTTGTTAGTTTAGCATTCTTGTTAGTACTTCCACACTTGCAGAGACAAGAGATTAGATGAGTCCCGAATGTGGTGTAAATATAATCGATTAAGAAAAGTTATGAGATTCTGCTGAAACTCTCTCTAATTTGATTAATATTGTGGTATCAGAGCAATAATTTTATTTTCTTCTTGGCTAGTGAGATTTCTTCTCCCACAAACGTAGTCCCGTGTCCATTTCTTTCTTTTTTCCCCTTGACTCTCTCTGTGGCTCTAAAGCTTTGCTGCTGCCATTCTGGATCTCTAACTCTCTTAGAATTCTCAAGTCAATTTTCTGAATCCATATCCAGAATATATATGGACAGAAAATTTTTTAAAACTAATACTATCATCATCATTAGCAATTATTACCTCCAAATTCACCCTTTCCTTAGTTTTGAGTCCATCCCTCGACTCATCAATTTTTCATATCAGCATAATTCAAAATAAATAGGAAGTTTGCATTAAAAACTTATTTTCCTTTTCTACAGTCACATTTTTCGCTTTCTCCTCACGACTATATACCATTACAGTGGCCAACAACAAACTCTTCAAACCTCTGTTTTCTCTCGTCCTTCAGTCATAAATGACTATGGAAACTTAAACACCAACCCCATACCATTCATATGTTTTAGTCAACCTTGTGAACAAGAAGGTCATATAGCCAAAATGTGTGCAAATTTCAGATATTCATCATTCTCGAATCTGTTAACCATCAGTTTCAACATTATCCAATCCTATCATCATACCTACCATGTTGCTGCTCAATTGGATCAGTCTTCATCAAGCTGAATGATGTATCTACTCATTAACTGTACAAGGGCTATGGCACTGGTTTGTCCATTACACATGCTATGTTTTACAATTCTATCATTTTCCTTTCACTCCTATTAAATACCAATTTTCTGTTTGTTCATCCAATGAAGAAAAATCTAATCATCATTTTCAAGTTTTGTAGTTCGAATAATGCGTATTGAAATCTTTCCGTTCCATTTTGTATGCACGATCCTCACTTGAATATCCATCTCTCGGAAGGACTCACTAAGGATGGTGTCTATGAATGGCATGCTCACTTTTCAACTTCTCCACCACTAATTGGCTTTTTCCAGTGTCAAATTGCCCATTTCTCAATGGCACAATAAGCTTAGTTGTCCTAACATAAAATTCTGAAAGATATTTCTTCGTTAGATCATATGCCTATGTCAAAAAACCAATTATGTTTTCTCAATTGATCAATTTATCATATATGTTGTTATATACAATAAAGTGCTAACTAGATGTTTATAATATGTTTATTCAGTTCGTACTCATTATTGAGAAATATTTTGTTTGCTCAGTCATCACGCTTTACACAGATAATAGTGGTGAATATCAAGCCCTAAAGCCATTTTTCTCTCAAAACGTTATCTATACTCCCGAAGTTTAATGGATCCTTCGAGCGCCATGTTGAGATGGGTCTCACACTCCTTGGTAACACCTCCTTACCTTTCACCTTTTGATCCCATGAACAAATCTAAGCTTGTTATCAATACTCCCTTGGAGAAAATCTTTAGTCATTTGTTCTAATTATGCAGCAGAAACAGTAAAGGACAGAAACAAAGAAGAAATGAAAAGGAAATGCTGGAAAGATAATAAAGAAGGTTCCGTTTCAACATGAGAGAATGTCCCATCCCAATCTATAGGTGAAAAGCATGCCCAATCTGTCACAGCCAACTTGATTACTTTTACAAGGTCCACAAGCTTGAATCCTCAAACATGGCTTTTTGGCTACCAAAATCTCCGCCTCCCTCTCTATCCATCCAAGGGNAGGGTCGGATTTGAAAAAATACAGTTTAGTGGAGTTTTGGAGATATGGATAATGCTGCTTTGCCACCATCACCTGTGGTGCCATTGTATTTAATTGTTAAGGACGAACCCAATGGAAAATGGTATGTGGATGATGATTTTGTTGAACATGCTTTAAGTAGACTAGAAGGTGTACAATCTAGTAAGGGGCCTTCTTTAAAAGCATTTGAGTTTGATTCTGCTTTGAGGTGTGTTATAGTCCATTTTGATTAATTTAAAATCATTATGATTTTTTGGGATCTGAGAGAATTCTGCAGAGTAGCGCTTTGATTGATTGAAAAATGTGGAGTATTGTGTTTTGTTGGAGAAATTAATTTTTTGGTTATTGTTGAAGAAGCCAGTTTATTCCTTGGTGGAATTCGTGTCAATGTGGAGATTGTTAGAATTTGGGTGTGACCCGAATTTCTTGTTGAAGTAATTGAAAAATTCTAATTGAAGTGCACGTCAAGAGAAATTCAGTTTGGAATGCTTTTGGAGTTTTACTCAAGTTGAAATTCTATTCGGAAGCTCTATTGGGAGTTTGGCTTTGAAAAGGACCTAGAGACATAGAAAATAACTTGAAGAGAAAAAAAAAAGGAAAAGCAGAACGTCCGGCACCGGTGCCCCTGTTTGGTGTTTTGCCCCGAGCGTCGGGGTGCCCGGAGGTGACGCCGTAGCGCAGCCTCTGTTCCAGAATTTTGCACTTTTCTCTCTTTTTTCGTTTTAGACTCAATTTTTGGTATCCTACTCCATCAACAACTTTACTAGGAGGGTTTGGACGTTCCCTACATGTTTCCTATAAATATTAGACTCTTCAGAAAAGTGATTACTAGTTTTTAGGATCATTGTAATACTTCTCTATCTTCATTATTTGTGGTGCAATAAAATATCCTAATTCTTCTGCCATATTTTCTTATCTTCATTTATTCTTTTGCTTGTAATCAAATACTTTATTATTGTGCCATATAACTTCAATATCTCAATCCGATGATTGGTTTCATATTAAGTTGTGTCGACCAATACGTGATCCTTGAATTCTCAACAATTGGTATTAGAGATTTTAGGCATAATTAATACAAGTGGTATTAAAGCCTAGGTTCAGCAGTTCCGCAAGAGCGTAGGGTTTGATTTGTTCGAGGGTTTTTTTCGTAATGACTTTCATGAAGTATGGCATTCCGCTTTTGGATTGGAGTACTAGATTTTCACTATGGTAGGTTAAGATGCATGCAATACTCGCACATTAGGATTTGGATGATACGTTTTTGGGAATTGACAAGATTCCTGTAACTTTGACTGCGGAGGAGAAATTACGGAAGGATAAGTTTCTCACATTCATCTTCATTTATAGAATACCATTCCTGAATGAGGGTTTAACAGCTACTTTATGGCTGAAGTTGGAATAATTGTGCACGACTAAAAGTCTAAGAAGCAAGTTGCATTTTAAGCAGCGTTTATACTCTCATCGAATGACAGAATTAGGACCATTAGAAGATCACCTGGTTGTTTTTAATGAGATAGTCGCTGATTTGGAAACTTTGGAAATAAAATATGATGAAGAAGATTTGGCGTGGATCCTATTGTGTTCATTGCCCGCTTCGTTTTATTCATTTAAAGACACGATCTTGTATAGTCGTGATACTCTTACCATAGACGAGGTGTATGATGCTTTATTTTCAAAAAGAAAATGAAGCATATGGTGTTTGAGGCCACAGATGGAGAATACATTGTTGCTCAAGGTGGTTCTGGAAGGGGCATATTGAAATCTAAGTTCAGTAATTAGATTTGTAACTTCTGCAAGAAGAATGAGCACATGAAGAAGGATTGATACAAATTGTAAAATAAAGAAATGTTGGCTGCAAGTCGATATGGGAAGCAATCAGAGACTTCAGGTGAAGCAGACCTCGCAGAGAACATTGAAAGTGAGGGAGATCTCTTGACTATTTCTGATATCGAGTATAAACGAGAGGAGAATTGGATTCTGGATTCAGCGTGTGTATTTCATATGTGTTCTAATAAGGACTTGTGTAAACATATGAAACCGTTTCCGAAGGTGTTGTGATTATGGAAAACAACACACATTGTCAGGTTGTTGGAATTGGTACGGTCAGATTGAAGCTATTGGATGGGGGCAATTAAAACTCTTTGCTAGGATCGACATGTTTCGGATTTGAAGAAAAATCTCATCTCATTGTCTATCCTTGATGCAAAGGGTTATGAGTTATTTAGTGGAGGTGGAGTTTTGAAGGTATGTAAGGGTACCCATATTGTATTGGAGGGACAAAAAATGTCTCAGTCAGGGTCGTGCAGAATATAGAAGAGTCGATCAGCACAAGTTCAATGCCGTAGTGGACATTCAATTTGGTATAATACCTTTAGGAGCTCGTAAATGGTCGGATTTGAAGAATATAGCTAAGTGGAGTTAATGAGATATAGATAATGCCACTTTGGCACCATTACCTGCGATGTCATTATATTCTATTGCTAGGGAAGGACCCAATGGAAAAATGTATGTTGATGTTGATTTTGTTGAGCATGCTTTCAGCGTAGTAGAAGGTGTACAATCTAACAAGGGGCCTTCTTTAAAAGCATTTGAGTTTGATTCTGCTTTGGGTATGTTACAGCCCAATTTGATGAATTTTAAAATCATTATGATTTTTTGGCAATCTAAGTTAATTCTGCAGAGTAGTGCTTGGTTTCAATGGAAGAGATGGAGTATTTTGTGTTTGGTTGGAGAAATCGGTTTTGGTTATTGTTGAAAAGTCAGTTCATTCCTTACAGACAAATTTTCTTCTCCAGGTGGAGAAGATTTTGGAGCGTTGTTCGTTGCAGTGGGATTCATGTCAATTTGGAGATTGTTAGAATTTTGGTGTGACCCGAATTTTTTATTGAAGTAATTGAAAAATTCTAATTGAAGTGCACGTCAAGAGGAATTCAGTTTTGAATACTTTTGAAGTCTAGTTCAAGTTGAAATTCTATTTGGAAGCTCTATTGGAAGTTTGGCTGAGAAAAGACTTTGAGATGAAGAAAACAACTTGAAGAGAAAAAAAAAGGAAGGGCTGAACGCCTAACGCGGGGCATGTGGTGCTGCGGCGCCGGTGCCCCTGTTTGGTGTTTTGCCTCGGGCGTCGGGGCACCACAGCGCCGCTTCCAGAGGTGACGCCACGGCTCCACACGTCTGTTCTGGATTTTTGCGTTTTCTCTCCTTTTTCGTTTTAGATTCGATCTTTTGGTATCCTACTTCGTCAACAATTCTAGTATGAGGGTTTGGACGTCCCCTACATATCCATTATAAATATTAGGCACTTTTATATAATTTTATAGTGTGAGAAAAGTGATTACTAGCTTTTAGGATTATTGTAATACTTCTCTATATTTATTGTTTGTGATGCAATAAAATCTCCTAATTCCTATACCATATTTTCTTGTCTTCTTTTATTCTTTTGTTTGTGATCAAATATTTCATTATTTTGGTATGTAACTTCAACATTTCAATCCGATGATTGGTTTCCTATCAAGTGGTATCGAGCAATACGTGATCTTTGAATTCCCAATAATTGGCATCAGAGATTTTGCATAATTAACACAGCAAAGTAAATAGAATACAGATATATGAAATGTAGAGGTGGCTAATGCAAAAGCACAAAATTTAGTATTGATAATTCAAAGAAAATAAACAGACACTATGCATTCATTATTAGACTAAAGTATAAGTTGCTAATGCTGGATTTATGATTCAAAGATAATATCATAAAGGCTTAAAATTAGAGAGAAAATAGGCATAGTTGACTACTGCACTGCCAATTCAAGAAAATGAAATAATTGGTATCCCAAGTAACTGTCTGTGCCCTTAGCTTTAGGGATTATATTCAGCTTTCATAGAAAGGGAGGAATGCATTTGTGTCTATTGGATCTGTCGGGATTGCTACGGCTCACACCTGCAGTGATAGGCCTTCTTAGATTCGACTTTATAAGTTATGGCTAAAGTATAAAGTTGGAAAAGTAATAGCCTGAAAATCACATTGCAAATAATCCCAGGAACATCATAGGAATATAAATATAACTGCAATGGTGATTAGTTCCATTAATTGAAACTAATTAATTAGCTCTGTTGATCAGGAGAGATCCCCTATAGAGAAGGCCAATCCATTGGGGTGATTCCAGATGGTATTGACGAGAATGGGAAACCTCATAAGTTGAGTTTGTACTCAATTGCAAGCAGTGCCCTTGGCGACTTTGGAAACTCAAAGACTGTAAGTCTCAGCTTTAGGTATTATATGAATGTTCTTTAGAAGGATCCAATGTTAAGACAAAATGTCAATTTTTTTTGTTATTTTTTATATTTGGAGATAAATTTATTATCAATTTATTACTTCATATAGGTGTCTTTGTGTGTTAAAAGGGTTGTCTACACCAATGAGCAAGGGCAAATAGTGAAAGGAGTTAGCTCAAACTTCTTGTGTAAGAACTCTACTTTACTGAATAACCAAAAAAACGTGTAACATGAACGTGCTCATCTTCTCAGATTGTAAATTAGGATAAAGATACCTATTATGTATTGGGCACCTCTGAGTAAGAAATTTTCCTGTCAATTTAATGACCTCACTTGAAAACGTATGGTTTCCAGGTGACCTGAAACCTGGAGCTGAAGTGATGTTAACTGGACCTGTAGGGACAGAGATGCTCATGCCTAAAGATCCTAATGCTACTATTATAATGGTATAATAGCTAGATTGATTTCTTTTGTTATCATCACATTGTGCCCTATACTGGATTTCTACATTATCTTTAAACTCTTGATTTCAATTGAACCTTGTTAAAATTGGAAATTTTTCATTGTAGCTTGCCACCGGAACTGGAATAGCCCCTTTCCGCTCATTTTTGTGGAAAATGTTCTTTGAGAAGCACAATGACTACAAGGTATCTCGAGCAACTGAAATATCTTCTTCATTAACATTTACATTGTCTTCTTGATCCTAGTATATTGCATTTAACAATAAACAAAGAAAAACAAAATGAAAGTGCGCTTCATTTGATTGTGCTGCCACTATTACTAGAAGCATTTAGAGAGAAAAACATTGGCCAACCACACAGCAATATATGTGAGCTTAAAGGCAATCTTGTCTCTGTTTGTGTGCAATTGATGGATGCCAATTTCAAATCCTAGTTTTAGAAGATTCATCTTCCATCATATAATGTTCTCAATTTTATGCAACTATTACATGTATAGTTCTCTGATAAATATCATGGATGACATAATTAACTATGACTTATTTCAATCTCACCGTTTTTTTTTTTTTACAATATCAAGAGGGATCATTTGTCTTTTTATACTGCAGTTCAATGGTCTAGCGTGGCTTTTCTTTGGTGTGACGACAAGCAGCTCCCTGCTCTACAAAAAGGTGAATTAAAAGTTCACACATCTGGACAAACTACTATAACCATATTTTAATATCTATATAATGAACTTCTAGTCAAAAAATTGAGTAGTAGACACAAATATTCAGATTTCAGTTAGATAGGCATAGAAAGAGCAATTGTATACAATTCAGTTGACTTCCAATTGCTGTGCGTAAAGAAATTATCATTCCCAGTAGTTAAATGAAAAACAGGATATTATTTGTCAGTAGTAGTAAACTGTGGGTGCTCTATTTGGGCAGGAATTTGAGAAAATGAAAGAGAAAAACCCTGATAACTTCAGGGTAGACTTTGCAGTTAGTGGAGAGCAAACAAACGAGAAAGGTGAAAAGATGTATGTTCAAACCCGGATGGCTCAATATGCAGAAGAACTATGGGACTTGCTCAAGAAAGATAACACCTATGTCTACATGAGTGGGAATAAGGCCATGGAGAAAGGAATTGATGAAATAATGGTTTCATTGGCTGCTAAAGATGGTAACTTTGTAGTATATAGTTGGGATTGTATCAAACTTTTTGGCGCCTTTAATGACTTATGATATGTTATTCTCCAATAAATTTTTGACACCTCAACCATTAGCTTTTGTTTGCTCATGTGTCAAAAATTTAACAACGGAAACAGTCAAATTGGGACAGCACATCACAACTCCCTATAAATATGAATAATGCAATTTAGTACAAGAGTGCTAAATAGCGTTATTCTATAGATATGCTTCCACGCTAACTTGTATGCTGCTTTTGCAGGTATTGACTGGTTGGAATATAGAAAGTCATTGAAGAAAGGGGAGCAATGGAATGTGGAAGTCTACTAAATTATCGTTTTCTTGGACAAATGTACGTTTGAAGAAAGGGGAGTAATGTATGTTTAAAAATGGTTGTGTAAGTGGTTAAAAGCCAACATTAAGTCGAAATTTTAGTTGAATTTAAGTAGTTTAAAGTAAGATTAACTTGAAAGCGATCCTTTTTGAGATTATGCACCTATTTGACAATTATTAAAACAACTCTTTTTTTTTTTTTTTCCCGCTCCAACTCATTTTCAACTACATATTTTCCAAATAAAATATTTTGCAAGCAAACTTAATTTTTTTTCTACTTCTTAACCACGCATTCTCCAACATATTGCTATTTTAAAATTTATTCTCCAAAAATTTCATTTTAATAGTTGTCAGATAGGGGCCATACCAGAACAACAACATAGGCACAAAGTATCGAAAAGTCGAGAACAACGAGAAAAGTCTGAGACCAAATTAATGGAAGAATAAGTCAAATTAACCCTATTTATAATGGTAAACTTGAAAGTGGAAAATTCTGAAATCCAATGTTTGAAGATGGAAGGATTTTTAAAGGATCAAAAATTATCTTGTTTAAGTAATATCATTTAGCACCAGTAGTGTTGAACATTAGTTTAGATGTCAGTATGTCATAAGTCATATTAAATGGATTATAGTTCTTTGTATTTAATTAAATATATAATTTAATAATACTATTGTTGTTATCTAAATTGGTGTTAAACATTAATAGTGTTAAATAGTATTTTATTTATTTATTTTATTATTTTATTATTTATTTTTTTCTATTTATTATTTATTATTTATTTTATTTTTGTAGAGAGAAAAAATTTATTTTAAGATTTCAAATGTATATATTTCTTGATAATATATTAATAAAAAAAATTCTATTTTAGTGAATAATCAAATTTCACGTAATATAATGTTATAAAATAATTTTTCAAAATTTCAAACCAAATATGTTTTCTAGTTTGAGAAATAATTTTTCAAATGATAAACCAAACGCATTTTTAGAAATCTTAAAACATATCCTCAAATTAGAAAATAAACTCAAAACTGACAAACCAAACGGATCCTAACACTCCAAAGTAAAAACATTTGAGCATCATTGAAAGCAAATGACAAGTTCTATTTTCTTACAAAATATTATATAATAAAAATATTCGTCGAATCGGTTCTCGATTTTACCTAGAATCAGAATTGGATAAAAAAACCGGCGGGTTCATGGTTCTAGAAACAAAAATCATTAGAAATTTAAGCAGAATAGGAGTGTGTTTGGTAGAGATTTTTGGGGGAAGAAATGATTTTTGAATAGTGATATGATGGGAAATGTGTGGTTGAAAAAGAAGAAAAAAGTATTGATGTGATGTAAAATATTATTTTATTGAAAAATATGTGGTTGAAAATGAGAATTGATTTACATTTTTCAATAAAATAATATTTTTCATCACATCAATAAAATTTTCTTCCTTTTCAACCACATATTTCCCATCATATCACTATTCAAAAATCAATTATTTCTCCAAAAATTCATATCAAACAAGCATTAAATGCTCAATCTAAATCTACAAGTGTTGTCACGGGCTAGGCTAGACCTACTTTTTTATATAAGAGTATAAAATACTATCTTCCAATAATATTTTGATAAATAGAAATGAATATCCATCTCTTGATGTTAATATCAATTAATAAGTGTGTGCATGATATTCCATCAAGGCTTAAAATGTATGTATTTTTATCTTAATATCATTTACTCTATTTGCAATTAGAAGCTTCGTACATGGGATTGGACACAACTAAAAATTGATTGAAGAAGAGAAAAGTGGAAATATTTGTTCATTATTAACACAATAAACAATCTCTAGAGAGTTGAAAATCAATCAATTCTACATTCAATTGAGAATTAAACAAAGAGTGTTCTTTTACTCAAAAACATCATTAAACCAACCAAATTTCGCAAATTCCTCATTCAGATTCCTCAACAGTAGCTTCAATTCTGAGTAGAGCAAACCCAACTGCAACTCCAACAAGAACTAATCCAGGAATAATTGCAGCTATCCTAAAAATCTCAGCTACTGCATTGCATGTAGAAGACAGAGCCCCGCCACTTTTTCCTTCGCGTAATTTCTGTGTTTTCATTGAACTAACAACCTTGGCAAAGGACTGTTCAGTACAAACTGGAAGGCCTAATGCTGCTACACTGTTATGGGCTTTAAGCCCTCCAAATGAGTTCAATCCATTGATATACTTCACCTCAGTGCTTCTCCGGGACGAATGTGCCGGGCCCGCAATGGCTACAGCCGGAACAGAGAGCATAGCCGATGCCGTTGCCATTGGTTAAACCTATAGGAAGGAAGAACAGAAGCAAGAATTAGACACAGAAGATGCATATATACTCCAAGATTTTATGTGGGCAAGAAGTGTAGAGAGTTTTACCTGTTGTGTGATGAGTTTAGAGATAATTTTTAATTGGTGGAATATAGAGTTTGTAATAGGAAGAAATGAAAGTGTGGATAAGGTGATATAGAGATCGGTTGGCTTACAAGAAAATGGGATGAGGCTGATTTTGAAGGCTAAAAATCTTTACCTTTAATCGTGGCCAGGAAAGAGGGTAGGACAGGTTGAGAACCATTTGCAAAAATTGATTTTTATATAATGGTGTTCATTGGGTTAGGTTCGGTTGATCAGCCGGTTAAGAGAGAAGTACGAAATAACCAAGCTCACCGCCGTCTCCTCCAAAACCTATCTCAGCTATAGTCCCGTCTCTAAATAACATTACTCGTTACAAAATCATAGACCGAAAAAGGGTTGCAAAAGGTTTTTCGTCTTTCCCTTTGTTTCTCTCCCCTCTAGCATAGTAAACTCGTCAATTTAGAATATATGGTAAACATAATTACAAAACTCCTGTCCAGAACTCATGCCTAATATTCACACAAAAAAAATTGGCATCTACAAAGATTCTAATAGATATTTTGTACAGTAAGAATCTGGTTGTTTAAGAAAAAGGCCATGAGATTAAGTTGCAACTCATTTTTGCTGATTTTGCCATTTCTCGTGGAAAAGATTTGACCTTTACAGCCCCCACAAAGGAGTTAGAAGAGTAACCATTTCAAAACAAGGACAGAGAAAAAGAAATAAATCTGTCCTATACAGCTTTAACGCGCATCTTCTCGTGAATATCCATCACAACTTCCAGCAGCTCGGGGAAGACTGATAGTAAGAGTAGTTCTAGGATTCCGTAAGCAAGTTGCTTCAAACATACCGTTGACTGCAAGATTGAAAATAATCAAATTACTGGAATAGGAAATAAAAATACAATGGCTTAACTTCTTACTGCATGTTCAATACACAATATTAAAACGTACTGCACAGAAAAATAGATAGATTTTAACTTTTTTACTTTCTTTAATAGTGTCCAATGATATCTAATCCTTTTCCCCATTTTTCTCTTTTGCGCATGTTTGAGGGAGCTGGAGCTGGGGCTCGGGGCGTGGCTCACCTGAAGGAAATAATATATATCTCTAGCGCAGCGTCTATACTGCATCTGCCCAATCAAGCTGACCAAAGTAGTGGGAGCACCATGTGCCATAGGAGCAACATTTTTAAATCAACGGCTGAATAAAGTAGTTACCATTTCAATTTTTTAGTGTAAAACCCAGCTTGTAGTCTAGTCCTGACCACAAATAAGGGATATCATCATACCATATTACTTGGTCACATCATATAAGAAAACTAACTAAGTGGTTGTTATCAATTAAGCCAATAATGGTAAACTGAGGTCTGGAAGAAAAGATGCTCAAAGAAGCATTCTGCTATATTTCTGTTTTCATTCTCGAGAAGAAAGGTTATATATAGCTTATTGCAACAAACTTTATACAAGTGGCAAAAAAAATCTGTTATACACTAATTACACACTAGCACCATAACTGAATTGGAATCTATTCTAACTCCTTTGAGCAAGTGGTCAGCAGCTTCCATTCCAGCACACTTTGCATTCTTCTAGGTCTTTCTTGGCTCATGATCTTGAATTTCAACAGCCCTTATCAAGATGGAGAGTAGATGTTTTCTACTTTCATCTTGGACAAATGTGAATAAAAAATGTCTGAGCAAAGGTGCTTAGTAAAAATATCAGCAATTTGTGAACCAGTTCTCACGTACTTTGTAATTATGCTTCATTCTTGTATGTTGTCACCCACTAGATGACAATCTAGTTCAATGTGTTTCGTTCTTTTATGAAACGCTGGATTAGCCGCGATGTGTAAAGCCGCTTGATTATCACAAAACAATTCAGCAGGTTGTGAATGTGGAATTTGCATATCATAAAAGACATATCTAAGCCATGTTAGTTCACAAAAAACAGCCGCTATGGCCTTGTACTCCGCTTCTGCTGATGATCTGGAAACTGTGTCTTGTTTCTTGGATCTCCAAGACACCAATGAAGAGCTAATAAATACACAATAACCTTTTATTGATCTCCTAGAGTCTGGACATGCCCCCCCAGTCCGAATCAGTGTAGGCTTTAAATTGTAAACTTAAGGATAAAGAAAACAACAGTCCTAGGCCTGGTGATCTCTTGATGTATCTAAGCACCTTATGTGCAGCATTCAGGTGTGGCACTCTAGGAGTTTGCATGTATTGACTCGACAGATGCACTGAATAGGATAGATCAGGTCTAGTGATTGTCAGGTGGAGTAATCTTCCTACTAGTCTTTTGTACAAAATCGGATTAGAAAGGACATTTCTTTCATCTTTGGACAACTTGGTATTTTGATCAAGCGGGATTTTGGTTGGAATGACTCCAATGGTACCCAAATCTGCCAAAATATCCAATGCATACTTCCTTTGGCAAATTTGAATTCCCTTTGTTGATCTAGCTACCTCTATCCTAAGAAAATATTTCAAGTTCCCCAAATCTTTAATTTTAAACTTATCATCAAGTAAGTCTTTAAGGGAATTGATAACCTCTACATTATCTCCAGCCATTATTATGTTATCAATATAAACCAATAGGGCTGTAAAGGAATCACCTGTGCCCCTTATGAACAAACTATAATCAGCTTTGGATTGATGGAAGCCCTATTCAATGATGAAAATTGATAACTTTGAGTACCATTGACGAGACGCCTGCTTCAAACCATAGAAAATTTTATTGAGTTTGCCAACTTTTGAAGTTCCATTAACAGAATAGCCATCAGGTATCTGCATATAGACTTCTTCTTCCAAGTCTCCATGCAAAAATGCATTGTTCACATCAAATTGGTGTAAGTACCAACCCTTTTACAACTGCTACTGTAAGTAAAGTTCTCACCGTTACCAATTTTTCCACTTGTGAAAAAGTCTCATGATAGTCTACTCCTTCCAGTTGCGTGTATCTTTTTGCCACCAGCCTTGCTTTATACCTCTCAATTGTTCCATCAGCATTGAACTTCACCTTATAAACCCATCTGCATCCTATAGGCACCTTTCCAGGTGGAAAATCAGTTGCAATCCAGGTCTGGTTTAGCTCAAGAGCATTTATTTTAGGTCGCATATCTTTACACCACTCAGGACATTTGGTAGCTTCTTGATAAGTAGTTGGTTCTGGATGTGTAAGTATTGATGATGCAAAAGCTTTATGTTTGTTAAATAGTTTGTGATATGAAAGTGTTGCACATAAAGGAAATGGACTACCTGAAGTCACAGTGCCTTTCCTCTTGTTGGACTCTTGAGAATGAGTAGGTGAGGATGCTTGTTGGCAAATGAAATCCTGTAAGTAGGCAGGTGTTCTTCTACTTCTGTAAGATCTTTGAGGCATGTAGGAACCACCTAAGACATTATGTGGTGATTCAAACTCAGTAGGGGATTCATTTGTTTCTGAAAGTTCCATATCTTTATTGGAATCTTGTGCTGGTTCCATTTGTGGTTGGAAATTGAAACTAACCGAATAATCTAGGTTAATGTTGCTTGGTTGTGGGTAAGCCAAATCTGTAGGAGTTGGCAACTTATTAGGACTTGAGAGATCATTACCATCTTTGATATTGGATCTTTTGTAAGGAAATATGTTTTCATGAAACACCACATTTCTTGATATAAAAATTTTGTTGGTTTCTAAGTCAAGAAACTTGTATCCTTTGGTTCCAAATGGACATCCTAAGAAAACACATCTTCTTCCCCGTGAATCAAATTTATGTCTGTTATGTGCAAGAGTAGTAGCAAAAACAAGGCAACCAAACACCCTAAGATTGGAATAGCGTGGTTTAGTTTTGAAAAGAACTCCAAAGGGTGTCTTGTTGTCAAGAATAGGAGTGGGTGTTCTATTTACAAGAAAGATTGATGTTAGAACACAATCATTCCAATACAACATAGGTAACCAACTCTGAAATTTTAGTGTTCTTGCTAAATTTAGAATGTGTTGAACAACTGCATTTTGTTCAGGAGTTTCAACACATATAGTTTGATGTATAATGCCATTTTTAGAATAAAATTGTTTTAAATCAAAATTCCCCCATTATCAGTTCTAATAACTTTAATTTTGAACTCAAATTGTGTTTCAATCATTGTATAAAAATTTTGCAAAGCAACTGAGGCATCAGATTTCAGTTTTAAAAAATAAATCCAAGTGCATCGGCTGTGATCATCAACAATGATAAGAAAATATTTTAATCCATCATAAGCAATGCCATTACAAGGTCCCCACAAATCACAATGAATAGATCAAAGCAACTCTCTGACCTGTGATGGCTAACATTGAAAGGTTGCATATGCAATTGAGCTAAAGGACAGTTAGAACAAGTGTTCTTGGTGTGTTTTGTATCAGGATCATGATGTAAATTAGTCAGTTGTAATCTAGAATTTAAGAGATTACCCAATCTGAAATGCCACAGATCAAAGTTTTCTTAGCTGTCAGCAGTAGACAGAACGATTTTGTTAACTAACTTTGGTAGGTCATGAACTAGACTTGCAGGGGAAACTTCATTTTGCACCAAATGATATAGGCCTTGCCTCACTTCACCCAGACCAATGGTCCTCCAAGTTGAAAGGTCCTGCACATAACACATATCAAAAGAAAAAAATGAGACAACACTTGGATGTTTGAGCAAGTTTTCTAGCGGATATGAGGTTAAATGAGAATGGTGGAACATAAGAACATCATGGAGGAATAAATCATTTGTGATTCTAACACTTCCTATATGAGTTGCCAGTGTCACATCTCCATTAGGTAGAACAACTGATTGGGAGATTTTAGACTTAATGTTCATGAAAAACGAAACTGAACAAACCATATGATCTATAGCTCTGGTATCTACAACCCAAGGTATAGCTGAAATAGCCTTATCTCTAACATTATAAGCAGATAAACACATATAAGTACCAGAAACTTTAGGTGCATCTATGTGTTTGGTAGAGGGAGAATTCAAAAGTTGGACATGATTAGCATATAGTGAATAAGATTGGCTGGTTTGTGGTTTGAGCAAAGCCATTAGTTGGGTATACTGCTCTTGAGTTAAAACAACTTGGTTTCTATCACCAACTTGCTCCTGTGAAGGCACCATAGGAGGAGCATTTTGATTAGTAAAAACAACATTTGGTTGCGTCTTCCCATAGAACTTGTGGCATGGTGGATATCCATGAATTTTGAAGCAATACTGATGGTGTTGCCTGGCATTTGGCAGTGTGTGCATATTGGTTTGTCCTTATTAGCCTTAAAACACATTTCTAATGAATGACCAGATATCTTGCAAAAGGTGCAGAAATACTTTTTTTGCGGTCCCAGATTCTTCTTCTCTGTCTCCTTTAAAGTGCCTCTTCTTGACATTAGTGCCATTCCTTCAGTGGTATGTATATCAACATAAACATCCCTCATCTTCTTTTTTTGTTGAATTATAGAATACACCTCATTCAATTTGGGAAAAGGTTTGATCAGTAGGATTTGAACCTTGAAACTTTTGTAAGAATCATTCAGTCTCATAACGAACTTCATTACCCAGTCTCTTTCTTGATTACTAACCACTGTCTTCAATCCTCCACAAGTTCTGTTGGGAATAGATTCATAGTTCATCAGCTCATCAAGGAGTGTTTTTGTCTTCGAAAAATAAGTACTCATTGTGTCTTGTCCCTATATTAGTGCTAATATTCCCTGTTTGACCTCATAGATTCTAGGAGCATTTTGTTGAGCTAAACGTTGTTCTGATTCTAGCCACAATTGGTGTGTTGCTTCAGCATACAGTGTGCTAGCTTTAATGTCTACAGTCATGGTGTTTTGCAGCCAGGTGATAACGATATCATTGCATCGAAATCAGTGCTCCATCAAGGGACTATCGATATCAGCTGGTTCACATATGCTTCCATCAATGAAACCAAGTTTGTTTTTGATTCGAAGAGTTTCTT